TTTGTGTTAAATATCATTGTGCAGCTGATCTTGGCAGCCTGCTTTTGAATACTTTGACAGATTTACTCATGTGACTTTTTAAAAAAATGAATTATGTTGACCTTTAATGGATGTATAGGGGGGTGTGATATTTACTGAAAGATTCTCTGAAATGGTGTAAGTCATTCAGCTAATGTCTAAATTGACCCTGTGTTGGGTGGCATGACCAAAGTGAAGATGCTCTGCATACTTATCCAGACTACTACCTCATGGCCCTAAGGTCAAGCAGAGCCGCTCTTCTGACATCTATTTCTCGATCCTTTTTGCCACCCAGAGCATATCGCTATCACCCTCATTTGTCTCTTACAATTTCTCGATTGTACACATTATACATTCATGAACTCATCGCATGGCCACGAAGATCTGAGCAGTGGCGTAGCTAAGGTGTGTGTGGGGGGGGGGGGGGACAAATTCGAAAGTCTCCCTGGGTCCACACTTGAGGGGGGGGGGGGGGAGGCCTAACGAATGTCCTAGATTTATTTTGTATTAAATATTATGCCTCTGTCATGTTATCTTACTATTCAAATGGAGACAAAAATACTAGACAGCATTGATCTAGATGATGTTATAGATGCCTTTGCTGCACAGAAAACATGACTGAGGTGATATAAATTGTGACTTGTCACTTATGCATTATCTCGTCAAAAAACAATGGTGTTATTCATTAAAAGAGCCTTAAAATTATTATTTTTTGTTCATTTTACTAATATACTGTACCATTTGGAATTTAGACATATATTTATTAAGTACATTATGTCAAATCATGATGTCGAATTTCAAAATGCTGGGGGGCCTCTAAAAATGGTCAAACCCCCCCCCCCCCCCCCCCCCCCCCATCCCTTTCCCATAAAGTCTCCTAAATCCCTAGCTACACCACTGGATCAGAGTGGCTCATTTTATATAGAGGTCAAGTTTTTAGCTTGTTGCAGTAGAAATGATTAACTATGTTTATCATGTATAATTACTGTCATGCTTTATGTAATTTGTTTTTTAATTTCTACATTATGTTATACTTTATCAGTGTTAATTATTTATTGGATATTTCAATCCTCGCCTAGGTTTTATATGCCAGTGAATATTTTATTCAGATCCTCTAACATCATACTGTCATAAAAACATGTGTTCCCTTTACAGGGACAGCTTATAAATGTTTTCTAATCATTTCTGTGATTAAAAGAAAAATTTTATGTAGCGCCAAAAAGAAAAAAAAAAACAACAAACCTCTGTTATTGTTCAGTTTGTTTTAAATTTCAAGGTAACAGCAAAAAATTATATATTTGTAAAAAAATATAAAGTATCCTCTTTTTTTTTTTTTATGGTGGATGTACATAAACATGAGCAACAACTTTGTACCCTCTTACCAAGAGTTGTATTTGAATTTGTGTACTGATTTAAAGTTTATTAGTTCTTTTCTCACAAAGTGAGTCTTGATTTCAGTGGCACAAAAGTAGAATAGGATTGATGAAATCAACTCTCAGGTAGTGTTTCATAGAAGGGGAAACATGATAGTTGAAATAAAAATGTGTCAACTTTGGGCCCTAAATGTCTGTGCTGTGGCTTAGTTTTTGTTTCTCTAATGCACAGAGGATAAAAAAATTGTTATCAAGTCTATTGAATGTAGTTTTTTTGTGTGTATCTAGACAATTGTACTAATTGCTCCTTTTGTTGTCACCTGACAATTGTACTAATCAGTTGTCACCAAAAACAAAACAAAATTGTTATTAGAAATGATAATGACTTTGTAACACGTAGAGTAGACTAGAGTGCTGTACACAGATGCAGGGCAAAACTTGGTGGGTTCACATTAGATACAACTGTTCCTTGGTAATCTCTATATCGTTGTTTCTATTTTATTTTGCTGACCTATTTTGAAAGAGTTTATATACACTGTTACCCTATATAATGTTGTTGACTATGAATTTCAAGCAAGACTACCAAAAAAGTCATTGTGCGACACATGTTTCGTTATCTTTGTCCAATTACAATGTTGTAGCTCCATAACTGTTCTCTGTTTAGTTATTTGACATTAGTTGTATTTATAGTGCATTGAATTTGTCATACAGAAGTCTTTGTTATAGACTTTTAAAGGGTTTAGGTCTATCAATGGTCCATATACTTCCATTTGCATTTTATTCCCTCATGATATGTTTTTCATTAAACTTGTACCGCCAGTATTTTGAAAATTGTTCCATGATCTCTTGCCGAAAGTTTAAACTTTTTTTGTCCAGTTTACATTTTACACATTATGTCTGTCAACTTTGAATGGTTTGTTTTTTTATCCTGCTGTATGTATCCTCTAAGACTTTTTGCGTGTTGCAGTTTAGTTGCACATCAAAGTCTAGAAATGTTTATATTTCAAATTGGATTGTAAAGCTCCACACAGCACTGTTAGCATACACACTCAGATTCATGCTTGTTTGATTCAGTACAGTTGTACTAATTGTCCTGTCATGTTTCTCACTTTTACATCTGCAATGTACCAGTAGTGGTCATTTCTAGTGTGTTTGAAACACTCAAGTGTTCACATCTGTTATTATACTCAGTTGTCATTTTTTTTTATTTTTTATTTTTTTTTAACAGAATAAATTTTAAGCATTCACTTTGACAGATATCTTCAGTTAAAATTTTTTTTTTTTAAAAATAAAATAAATGTTCAAAGAACTTGTACACAAAGATAGAATGAAGTCAGTTCCTTTTTTCAGTAATTCCTTTTTCTGTATTTTTAATGGTTGTTTCATTTTTTTTTTCCATACAATATTGCATAGTAATAATTTTTTGCTTTGCTGTTAACAAACATATGGACAAAAACAAAACAACAAACACAAAACAGCGTCAGAGTAGTTGAAAGTTTTTACTTTAAAGGAGAATGTGGAACAAACTAAGGAAGATGGAAACTTCCAAATAGGACCAAATCAAGTAAAATAGGAAACGAGTCTCTTTGAAAGAACAGAAACATGGGTTTGCCTGAGCTTACTGATGGGGTTTTTATTTTTGTTATTAATTCAAACATATTCTGGGCTAATGTTTACATCTTTAAAAAGTACTTTTGTTCATTTTTTTTTTTAATAATTGATTTAAAGTAGAGCCTGTGAAATGCATTGTTTTTTAGTTGTGGAATTTTTTTCAGCTTTGCATTATATATTATCATACTGATGACGTGTTGTAGATTTATAGTTTGTATGTGATCAAGACTTGTGTGTGTGTCTGACATTGATTCTCAATTCATATCGAGCTTATTGTAGTCTCATATTCAGCGCTGCATGCTAGATTATGTTCTTATAGGCTTTGAATGTCTTATTAATTTTTAACCACTTATTGTAGAAGGGCTGGGATAGTTGTTTTTAGAATTTCTTGTTAGTTAATTGCATTTTGTTTTGTTTTTTCTTTTAAATGTTATGTTTAATATGTTATAAACTATTGAATTTTTCTTTCAATTTTTTTTTTTTTATATTGAACGTCTCCGCCAATTGTTCCCACCCCCACCAATCTAGTTATAGATGACTGTAGAAATATTTGAAATGTTTTGCACTTTTGCACTTGTTAAAAGGCTGTTAAATACATTTTTCTTTTGAAGCCCTTGGTAGCTGATTCTAGTATTCATACTCATTACTGATCTGAAATTTACATTGTCCCATAGTGCTCTCTTCTTTTGGTTGCCTTAGCCTAGAATCCAGGGCCGGCCTCAACCATTGTTGGGGCCCTATGCGAAACAGATTGCGCGGGACCCAGTTTGAGTAAGGATACAGTCGATACGTGAAAATTAAGAAAAATAAATTCGTCCTTGCATCTCATTCATTCTTTTCTAAGTACAAAATCATGATCAAATTAACTTTCCTTTACGAGCCTTGCTTGTAACAAAATCATACAGTATGTCATCAAACTTCTGTTTCCACATAGATCAGGAGGCGACAGAAATCTGTTATAAGTTACAAATAGTTTAATTTAATAATTTACACCTAGAATTAGCGCAGGGCCCATGAAAGTGCGGGGCCCACTGTGGTTGCATAGGTTGCAGTGGCCTAAGGCCTGCCCTGCTGTAATCTAAGGTTTGTTAAATTGTCATTAGCTCTCAAAGCAGGTTAAAAACTGCCATACATAGAAGCCACGAAGCAGACAAAAAAAAATATTCCATCCGATTCCTAAGCAATGGATTGCGTGGTCTGCACATTGGTTAAGTTACTAAGAAGCAGACTCAATTCATTGATTGCAAAACCCAGTTACCCAGTTTAACAAAAAGTCATGTCATTTTCCCAGATGGCAGCAAAAATTTTGGGTAAAAAAGGAAGAGAATTTTAAGAGCTTTTAATAGCAATTTTTATGTTCCTGCTAGTTAAAAGTGTTACTGTTTAGTCACTCTCTTAAACAAAGCTGTCCCTTGGTCTCTGTGACCTAAATGAGATAAACCAGTTTATTTAGAATGTGTCGTCAAGTGCCAGCTAGTAAAAAAAATCTCTATGATTATTGCTTTACTTTGGTTTTCACTGTTATCTTAGATTTCAATCTTTGCTAATCTATTGTCATTGCATTTTATTTGAAAACATTGAAAATTAATTCTTGTTTAGTTGTTGAAGGGCAGCACTGCACACTTATTGGCCATCAACATTTTCAGCCGTACTTTTCAGCATAGCCAAATGGTGCTTGGTACAACTGTTTTGAGTGTCTGCCTACACTCACATCATTGTCCCTTATAGTGATTGAACTAAATTGTCCAAGACTGTCTGCAACAGTGATCTAAACACCCACATCATTGTGCCATTCGTGATAGGTAGAACTAAATTAGTGAACAGTGATATTCTGTCAATCATGGGGCCATATAAATTTTTGACATGTGTATCACTGACCTTTTTAATACATTTCTTTTTTTAAACATACCAATATCCAACAGTGGGGCAAAATAGCACATCATCACAGATATGGCCAGTAGGACATAGCCAGGGCATCAAACATCTACATGTATTTTAAGTCATAAAAGTAGCCTTTTTTTGTGACCTGGTGAACTATAGGTTAGAGGATTTAAAAATCATCTGTTTCTCTGGCTGATAATTAACTAGACAATAACCGTGTTTACTTTCCCCAACTATGTCAGGTACGCATTAAAGTTAAGTGGACTTTGGGACTTCCTAAAAATCTCCATTATTCAAAATCCCAGTATTAATCAGGATTCAAACCTGAGACTGCTTGGTTCTGAAGCCGAGTGATTTATCACTCAGCCATCACACCACCGCAATTTGTATTATAATAAGGTCATTAAAATGTGCATAGGTTTTCATATCAAGGTAGCTGAGGGGATGAGTGCTTTGCTGCTGAGCCACAAGGCTTGGGTTTGATACCCAGCAGAATCCAGGGCAAATGTGTGCCTGTCCTTAGTCATATAGTGTAGAGGTACTATCTTAGCGCAATGTTAACCTCCACCTTGAAGTTTTAAGAGAGAAACATGCTGTTTACGTAAGTTAAGCTTAACAAAAAAAGAATGCTTGAAGATATTCTGGAGCCCCCATAGCCATGCAAATAAAAGTAGGCTTTCTTTGCTCTTCAACTTTCTTTCAGCATCACTGGACTGAGTGGAAGCTCTGACTCCTTGTATGTTTGTGCAGCAAATACTGACTCATTCTAGTTGAACTTTGTCAACTGCCTTTTGTTTTCTGGACTGCTCTTATTAATAACCTATTTTAATTTTCTTATTTTAATTATTAAACATGTGCTTTTTTTCCCCCATTAACATATGTAAAATGTTTGTTAACTTAAAGGTTTATTATGGAGAAGTCTTATTGTAATACTCTTTGTTATAGTATTGTTTCATTGATGTGTTTATTCATATTTATCTGCTTTTATTTTCTATAGTTGAAATGATCCATTTGTATGATTGGCATGAATATTTTGAAAGCTTGTTACAGGAGTGACGAAAGCATTATGGCCACTCTTTGTCATTCATGTCTCAATGAAACAAAACAAGAAAAGAATTGTGCTGGATTTCCGTTTTTTTATTTATTTTTTTACTACAAAATTTTATGTTGGCATAACTATGTTGTTGTTTTTTAGGCCACCTGTAATAAGTATCTAGAAGTCTCAAGGAGTGTTCTGCTGATGTTTTAGTTATATGTTCTTTTTAAAAAATCTAATGAATTGAAACCATGGAAGGATAGCAAAGTAAATTTATTGATCTCAAAACAGAAGAGCACACTGATTACAAAGAAAAAAGCCATATACCTTATATAACAAAGGACATCATTAAAAATTAAAAACTATAGAGCTAGTGTACCCTCTGTCTCATCTCATTGGTAAGAAAGACACGAGAGATGAGATGCCTGTCTATTCTTTCACGTTGCCCTGTCAGCTTTTATTAGAGGACCCTTTCCTTCTTGATCCCTCCACAGTAGCTTGATGATTTTTGACAGTGATTACATATGTCCCAAACACAACTCTTTACAGTAACCTAGGATTTCCTCCTTTTTTGCCAGCCTGAGGGTTGACTTATAAATTGTACGAATTCCGTTTGTCTCTTTTTTTTTTTTTCTAATGTATGATACCCAGCAGTTTTCTTTAGCATTTACTCTGAAACAAAGAAATTGTTTTACATCTTAGTTGGTTCAGTGACACAGACCATTGATGGCAGTTGGTGAAAATCTCGTTTGTAATAATATACTTGTGTCTTTATCACAAGACTATTTTATAGTTTGAAATTTAGTAAAAACATACTCTTGTCTGTATTGCAAGATTCTTTCAATAACAGTAGTTAATCACAATAACATGTAAAATGTAGCCCGCTGCATTTATAAACCCATTATAGGAGTAAGAAGTTATACCATGGTCTAAGCAAAAGTTGGCTGGTCAACGCCAAAGAATGGACATGCCTCTATATCTTGATATTCTGCTCCGTTGCTGCTGACTGGAAAAGGTGGGAGGATTTGGTTGAACCATCACAGTATATGAAAGTCAAGGGGGGGACTGGTGCAGAGCTCTGATGGTGGGGGTTTGGGTGAAGCGCTGCGCTCTGGTTGACAAGATTCTTGACTGGTGTAAGGACTGTGTGGGATTTAGAACAAATGTTAGGATTGATCAAACGCTGCACTGCAACAAGTGAAGGCTCGAACCTGAAATCTGCAGGCTCAAAGCTGGTGGTATTACAAAAATGACTCCTGCCCAACGTCACTTTTGTGGCTTAACACCCGCCCATACTGTGATGATGATGTAATGAAGACACAACACACACCATCTATGGCACAAAGTTAAAAGAAACCATTCATTTGGAATAATATATACTTGTGTTTTATTTACAACAAGATCCTTTCATAGCTTGAACTCTAGTAATACATCTATGAAATAATAAACAATAGGTTTAAAAAAAGTCTTTTAAAGAACAAAGTTATATGACAAATCAGAAATACCAGTATGTAGATGTTATGTATGGTTTTTCATAACTTGTAATGATTTACCTATTTATGGCTAACAGAATTGATACAAGTCTAGCTACAAGTGCAAAATAGATGCTTCTAGGTTAAAAATAAATAAAAAAGAATATTAATTTAATACAAGAGAAAAAAAAATCTTAGGAGTAAGGTGGGTTGGTCCTCCAGAGGTTTAATTTACATTTTTTAAAACATCTTTTGTTAATGTTGCAATGTATCTCCTTGACATATCTATGTCACTCTTCAGCTTCTTGAAACTAATTTGTGTGGTTGTGAATTTTATGTTCAGTTGCTAAGTCACAGGTGAATGTTACATAAGTCAGTGCAGTAGGAAACCAAACAGTTAAAAAAAAAAAACGAAGGTCATACACTTTGTCAATGACTACTAGACACAAGGTGCAATAGAGGATAAAACAGGTCAGAGTCTATAGAGGCAAAGTTGTATTTGTTGAACTGGGTCTTGTAGAACATACACGCAGACACACTTTTAACCTTTATCTTAGTACCAGTAAAACAACTTCAAGCAAAGTGCTTTGCACGCTGGGGTCAAATCTAGATAGGGTACTCCTAGCCCAAAGTGACACACAGAAGTCTAATCTGAAAAGGTTCCCACCAACCCAAAGTGCATTACACACAGCCTTTCTAGCCTTTAACAAAAAAACAGTGGCCTTTGAATATAAAGTTACCATGCCTGTAAAGTGCAATAACTCTTTTTAGGGAACATCCCAATGCTGATTGTTATGCAAGGTCAATGAAAGTTTAAAGAGTTAAAGGGAAGATAGCAAATAGTCTCATATGGGGGTTCCTTTAAAAAAGATAATTATTATGATCAAGAGAAGATGAACGCTTTTGGGCTTTGCTAATAATTAGCATAGATTTGATAGGGCTATCTGTTATGTCATTTTGTCAAGCCTATTTTCATTTTTAAACATATTAACTAAGAAGTCAATTTAAGAAATATAAGTGTTTTTGGTCTCCGAGAGTGTTTAATTATAACAATAATTATTCCTCCCAGTACTTTTTGTGTGTGTATTATTATAGCTTCTCTGTCCTGAAAGTAAGTTATTTTCAAACATTAATCTTATTATTAAACATCCAAAACAACATTGACATCAAACTAAATGTACTAAAATAAGTATTTTTATTTAAAAAAAAAAACAATACTAAAATATCATTAACAAATATTGATTCAACTAATCTATTTTTTAAAAAATCTGATAATTCAATTCAACAGTACAATCCATTGGGTACAAAGGGTTGCACTGCTACTACAATTACTAAAACCAATGTAGAGAATATTTTTTTTGATGGGGGGGGGGGGGGGGGGGGGGGGGGGGGGGGGAGTAAATTTATAAAGAAAAAATCTAGGTATGAAAATAATTTCATATTTTCTAATCTTCGATGGAAACAACCCAAGCATAATACTTTTAAGAAGCTAAATATAGTGTAGTTCTAAATATTTACCATCTTTCTTATTTAATATAAGCTATAACTCATTTTATTGGTTAAAATTTACACTTGTCTTGTACATTCAGACTCAAGAATAAAATCACTTGTACACGCATTAAACATTTATAAAAAAAAAATTGTTTATGAGGTTAAAGACAGACAAAATATATATATATATGATAAATTGACGTGATTAAATAAAAGTTTATCATCTTTCAAAAAAACTTAATAATCAATCTGAACAGATAAGGATTAGATAAGTTCAAGATGGCATTTTAATCTCAACGAGCTGTGTATGGGTAAAACATTGATATATTCTGGATGCAAACATAGTAAGGGTCGGCCTTAGGCCACTTTAACATATGCGGACACAGTGGGCCCAACGTTAATTCTAGGTATAAATTATTAAATTAAAATCATAATAACTTATATATAATAACATGGTTTCCGCTGCCTCCCAATTATCCAGGGCTCCTGAAAATTTCCTCAAATTTCAAAATAACAGAAAAAGTCCTTGAAATCTGAAACTATTAAAATCTAAAAAATAGGCTGAAAAATAGGCCGTGTTATTTTGCGATACCAATCCTACACGCGATAAGAAAAAAACGGTATTGTCAGCTTTCAGTCTGTATTTTGTAATTTCAAATCTTAATGTTGACATTATACTTATCCCTACCCAAACTGGGGCCCCATGCAATCCGTTTTGCAATTGAACATAGTTATTCCCATTTTTGTAATGAGTACATCCATAAAGCTAGAAGAAAAGCAAGTAGAAGCAACAAGATCTTAATGAGATGATTTCTTCTCACAGACTCAACAGAATGGGAGTGTGGGGATACATAATGCTACAGTCAATGTGCGCAGTGAGGAGTTCCAATCAATGATCTGAGATTGATGAGAAGTGATGTTTAAAAAAATAAAGGCACCATCAATCCACATATATGTATGGAGACGCACATGCACTGAGACACAGGCATACACACACAGTGCACATCCATTAATTAGAGTTACCTCCTTTTGTCAATTCGATTTGTTAATAAATAATATAATATGTTGACTGAAAAAATTTGAAATCCAAATTTAAAAAAAAAAGAAGTTTTGTATATGAAATAAATATATCACAATGAAAAATGGAAATAAAAACAGTATAAATAATTATTTAAAAAAAAAAAAAACAATAAGATATTACATTGTTTATTAATAACTGTCAACATAAAATGCTTAGACATCAAAAAAACTGTCAGGTAGGTGTATACAAGAGTCACAATCTGAAACAATGAAATATCACACAATAATTTAAATAGATATATATATAAAAGAGGGAGCAGTTTTCCTACTAAAAGTAGACACGCAAAAAAAAAGGGACTAATTTAATTAAACTATATTATAACAAAATATCAGATACATACAGATCTCAGTCATTGTTAATAAAAGGTCAATAAAAAATATCAAGAAAGAAAAAAAATGTCTATATAGTTGTAGCCTATAGACAAAATGTAAAAAAATAAATTGTATAACACAATACATGTAATAACCAAAAAAAAAATGATCACACAGACAACAATAAATGTTTTTTTATAGCAATTGCAAACATTTTTTTAAAAACATACAAATTAACGGCCAAAAAAAAAACCAGTTTATACAAGCCAAATCTCAGTTTGACTTTTTAAAACAGCATTTCTAAGATAAGAATTATTTTAACAGGGAATCAGGGGAGAGAACGTATGTTCATGTCTAACACAAACAACTAAAAAAATGGACTAATTTTCTAATTGACTTTCAACATGGCAGTAGAAACAGACATGACAATGTATGAAAGCTGATTTCATATAAAAATTAATTGTAAAAAATAATATTTTTTATATTAATGAACAGATCAAAAGTTAACATTTAATTGAAAGAAAAAAAACCCACCTTGATCTAATAATAAATTGATATTAGTATAATACAAAAGTGTTTCTAATTGCAAAACATCATGCCTACAATAAAGCAGACAAAATACATCCAGTAAGGACAGTCTTTGTGACATGAAATTCACATGGGACCTTAAATGGATGGACCCGGGGCATGCTACCCTGCCTCAAAGTGGCGCCCGGGTGGAAACGATCGTAAGAGGAAACGATTAGGCTAAAGGGTAGAAAAACAAGACTCCCGTTGGGGTGCCTGAGGGGGTGCGAGAGCATCCTCATTGCACTGTGCGGAGTTGTAAAAAAGCTCCCACAATCTTTTCACAATCCAGGCGCTGTTCCTCAAGGGGCCGTTACATAAATGGCATGTCCCGCACAGTTTAGCCTGGTATAGTAAAGGAAAATGGCGGGGGTCTTAGTGTACACGGTCTCTTGCCACGAGTCTGACCCACCCGCCAGATAGAACAGTGTACACTGTTCTCATTCAGGCCTGTGAGTGGGAGCTCTTGTTCACTTTTGCTGGCCTAGAGTTCCAAGAGCCGAAGGCTCAACTCTACCTGACAGTTTAAGAAGAAGAAGATATGGATGGACTAAACTGGTTATAGTCTACTGTGAAGTTTTTACTTCATTTTGATAATTGCATCGATTTCTGAAATGATTCCATATTTTCTGCTTAGGATTTGTGCTTACCAGATCAGAATGACTGCTCTTTTGGAGAATCATCACTATGTTAGTGTTTTTTTGTCTTCAGTGTTATAAATGTTTTTATGGTAATATGGGAGGAGGGGGCGGGTTCATCACAATGGTAATTGTTTGACTATAGGGCCTAGAAAAGTTTATTACAAATCTATACTTAGGCAAAAAAAATAAAATCTTACAACTACTTGCTTTTACAATGTATTTTGTATAAATACATCACCTTGATTCAAATACATACCAATCAAAATATAATATGAAAGAAAAAAAAATTACCTAAAACACTCTTTGTCTGTTCTAAATATTTACAAGTAGCCTAGTATGATCTATTTCATGAATATACAATCATGTTTTTATTTATAAACGTTGCATGGAATTCTTCATTCCATATCATTTTGTTCATAGTTTAAAAAAAATAAATCTGTACTCCCTTTAAATTATGAAAAAGAAAAAAATAATGTGTTAAAATTTGATTTTACAGATTTTGAAAATCAGGGTAAAATAAAATAGCTTACATACTGGTAACACAGAAAAAAGAAAAGAAGGTTACCCATAAGATACAACACATTTACACAAAGGAAAAGTTTGACATGTTTTTGCCTTGATCTAAAGTTCACAGTAACAATTTACAAGAAAATACCAAAAGATAGAATATGATATGCAAATATATTAGGAACTCAGCAGACATTGAAATCTTACACTTCCTTGTGCATGTGTCCAGGGTACAGAGAACAAAACTGGATGTGTGTTAATGACCTGATGGGGATGCACTAAGTGTTTTGCTTGGTGACTCTATTAATCCAGGCTCATTACAGCCCTGTTGGCGAATGTTGTACGGGGAATCTTTCTCGCCAAGGAGCCAGTAAGTCGTGATGGCACCTTTACCCTGTAAAAATGAGAGCGGGATTTAAAACAATTTAATGCACACAAAATTTACAGATCTATTCTAATTTAAAACTGTGAGATAATAAAAATTAATTGTTAATTATATCTTTAATATGATATAGATAAAATAGTCAAAGACAGGCAAAAAAAGATGAAAAGAAAACTTAAATAGACTTTGTCTGCATCAGGTGTGGCAAAATAAGCAGGTTGCAAGTGGGTTTGCTAGCTCACATGAAATACTGCAGTAATTTTTAATCTTTGGAATCGAAGACAATGCCATACTATAATAAAAGTTATAAATAATAAAACTGTTGTATACTGATTCCAAAGCAGTCCTTCAAAACTTTAAAAAACTCAATGCCACCTATGTGAAACAAGTCAGCAAAGCCTCTGTAAAGCTCAACAACAATAGCATGAAAACTTGTTCACTAACAGAAGAAAATGAATAGGCTGACACTTGCCAAGTGTGGGATTACAAATAAACAATGGAAAGTTCCACTCTTTCCATAAGAAATGAAGAAACCAAAAGTAGAATGGTAAAAAAATAATGAATAATGCAGGCGCAGTGGCTGAGTGATTAAGCGCTTGACTTCCAAAGTTGGGGTCCTAGATTCAAATCTCAGTGAAGACTGGGATTTTGAACTTCAGGATTTTAAGGGCGCCCCTAAGTCCATCCAGCTCTAAAGGGTACCTGACTTTAGCTGGAGAAAGTAAAGGCAGTTGGTCATTGTGATGGACACATGATACTATGCTTGTTAACCGTTGACCAAAGAAACAGATGACCTTAACATCATCTGCCCTATAGATCGCAAGGTCTGAAAGGGGAACTTTACTTTACTTTAACTGTAGAATAACCCAAAAATTGACAAGCTCTCATTTACATAACAAGAAAGACGATGTCTATTATAAGCTACCTCAACATGATTAATTTATAATTTTTGACTCAGAGCCGGACACAACAGTATGAGACAAAATATGTTTCGGAAAATGAAAAGTAAAATTTGTCCTTCTGGAGTTTCACCAGGAAATGCTAACCATGTCCTTCAGCACTGTATTCTCTATCAAGAGGCCCCAACAAGACACTGACCCCAAAATACCCATTTAAAAGAAAAACAATACGGATAACTGCCTGATCAAGAAACAACAGCGCAGTTTATCTTGGATATTGGACTAGTTATCTAAACCCTCTAACATAATAATGAGGATGCAGAAGAAGAAGAAGATATATATATATAGTTTCAAATAGCTGTACCTTCATTTCAACAGCTCCTCTCATCTCTAGTTGGAATGTTCCAAAAGTTTCCAAAATTTCTTTAGTGGCTGGACTCACATGAATGCGAAGAGCTAAAAGAAAAGAAAACAAAAATAATAACTTGAGCTTTGGTGATCTTAAATATGAATGCTGATTATAATTGAACATTCTTTTTGAGTGAAATAAAATTCAATTTCTAATTAAAAAAAAAAATTTTTTTTATTGTGGTCACATTGTAAAGCAACGAATCAATCTTAAAGCCCAGTAAAAATGGCTATTCCATTTTTAAGATTTTAAGTCTCCATGAGACAACCGAGGCTCTAATAAATACCTGAAAAAAAAACAGTTT